ATACCAGAAGTGTGCTGTACAGTTGTATCGCCGGAAACAGAAGAAACTGTAAAAATGTTGACTGGTAAAGTGAAGGTGAAGACAATGTTTGGAAACTGTAATAAATGTCACTTCCTTGCAGCTGGTTCTTAAAGAAATTTGCTCACAATAAATAACTCTAACCACTAATCTGTTGATAACTTCCATATCATCTTAATACTTTCCCTAAAGCCATTAAAAGCTTAAGTGACTGTAAAAAGTTGCCTGGAAAATCACTTACACTGTGACTTTTCAGTAAACCTCATTAGTTCTAATTATTGGTAAACCTTCCCACTTTTACTCTTCAGGTACACACATTTCAACCCTCCGGAGGAAATCAATGAGTATCCACGAATCCTTCTTCTTTATGTTAGTTTTGCATTCTGCTCTGTGCATTTTCATTCCCTGCGACTAAAATATAGCGCTTCTTGAACAACGTGTAAATTCACTTTGCCTTTTTGTCACCGGAACACATTCAGGAAGCTATTGGAGAAACTATTGAAGACTCCTCTCGGGACAGCGTAGGAGTGTGCAAATATGCTCTAAGAGCTTTATGTACCCTTTTACATCATAAAATGGACAACAAAGTACCCCCCATATCCCACCGTTCCAGTTTTTCAGATGCTCTTTTGGTAAGTGTTATCTTCCTGCAATTGTATTACTCGAAACAATTTTTAAACGATATGCCGTGTACTGTAAACAGTAATTAATTTTACGTGTTTAACGTACTAAACTAAAAAATGTTAAGAATGATATTTGTTTAACAAAAAATAATTTAGAAGTGCGCAGAACTGTTGCATCAAGACAAGTCGAGTTCACTAACAGAAGCTAAAAATTTACTGGAGTATAATTTTTGGGTTGGCGACGGTGTGCATTTTGATACAGAGTTTGAAGCTCGAATATGGCTTGATAAGAAGCGCACAGAACATGTCAGCTATCTAGTAAGTGGAAAATCTGCTGCAGCTGCTTAGAAAACTAAATTTACACTAAACAGTTAATTGATTCAACAATCTCTATATAAGTCAAAAATTGCTAACGGCTGATAGTGAGGTTTATAAGAAGTAAAAACTTGTCAAGTTAATTTCAAAAATGAAACAAAAACTTTTTTTTTGCAGCTACGCTTACTACTCGAAAACCCAGGCGCGTTGGAAGAAACTTATGAACGTCTTCACTTACAATTTCTGCTTTCGACCACTCCGCGTACTTTATTTGCCTGTTCAGAAGCCTTACGAAGATCGTTCTGTTAAGCAAGAAAAACAACAAAAATGAAAAAAGTTACCAGCGATCTAATCAGATGCCACTTGAACTGATAAATTGATGCAATGCAGAACACTCACATAAACATGTTAAGCGTTCTAATTTATAAAAAGTTATTCGTCTTTTTAAACCTTTATCAGATGACACGAAGATACCACATCTGCAACAAGAAATTTTTTAATTTCTGCTATTATACAGTACATCAACAAAAGCTACTCCTTGTAAACCAGTTTTCAAAAACGGCCAAATTGAGGTTTAAGCAACGTCATGAAAACCCATCAATATCCCTCCTAGTTTAAAAAATATATTCTATAAACTACTTCTATTTGTTAGTGCAGTAACTTTTTCAAGAAATGCTGACATTTTTAATCTAGCAGCAAATTACTGCAATCTATCAGTTTAAGCGGTAGCTCTGCCAGACAAAAGGTGTTGACATTTAACCCTACAGGAAAAGAACATTTTCCCTCCTGCGTTATACCAACAATTAAACTGCAGAAAAAAGCTGTGGCAGTTGGATAAAAGTTTACAACGAAAGAGATAGAAACAATAAGCAGAGAGAAAAAAGGATTGGAAAGCAGCAAAGAGAAGAAATGTGTAAAGAGCGGGACGGGTTAAATTAAAAATTATACTTTAGAAACAAAAACTGGGCTTGACTGGAACGATACACTGCAGTGGTTACTAAATATTCCTAGTTCGTTAGTCTTCTAGTCCAAAGTAAATACCAAAAAGTAGCAAATAAAATCTCCAATGAAAAATTGTAAAAATGCTGTAACAGCTGATCAGAGAAGGAATAAAAACAGAAAATAATTTTTGTTGAGAAAATTACTTCCGGGGCGACGATTCCAGGTAATCACGTTTCGGTAATTTTCAGTTCTGTAAAGTCCGAAACATTGATAGAGTCCGCTAGTTTGAAAAATTATCATCCGAGCTTTATTTTTTAGAGGAACTTTTTTTATTGCGTACTTTGTTTATCCCGCTGAAGACTGTCCGAGAGCACTCACTTTGCACAATAAAAAGCTATATAATTTGGAAATTGTAAGTGAGGTGAAGATCCACTGTTTTGAGTGTGAGATGTTTTCAGGGTTTTTGTAGAAGAAGACCAACAAGATTTTACTTTAGACAGTCCAAACAATCCAGTTCAAAAATTGAAAGCTCCTAATTGGAGAGCTCACCATAAATAGAAATTTCAGCGACGTGTCATGACGTGTTGCGACCACGCTATATCCCTGGCATTAAGAATTCTCCAAACGTATCAGGAAACTCAAGAACCCATATAAGTTTAATGACAAGAGAATGGAATATCTTTTCTTCGACATTGTTACGCTTTTCACGTTTACATTATTACGAATTAGTTTTCTGCCAAGATCACCAAATTTCAAATAGCGGCAGTTTCCGCTCTTTAGTAGTGAATTTAAGATTTAAGTACTGTGCCCACAGCCTTTCCTTTTCTTCCAACTAGATATGTACTTTAATTTTGCTGGTCCGTTTTATTTTTTTTTCATTCAGTCTCAGAAAGTTGTTGAGCTGCAGATGGCAAACTGGCTTTCTACAGGAAGATGTAACAGCAAATGAGGAAGGAACTGAACACGAAGTCAACGCAAATCCACACTCAACCAATTAAGAGCACAGTTTGCTCAGTAGCTGGATTGCGGTAGGATTGATACTTAGAATATAGCAGTCTTTAAATTGCCTCATGGAATTCAAGCTGCCTGTTACAATCCAAAATCCTCCGGGTAATTAAGCACAAGTTTTTAAATTAATCTTAAAAGTTGATCTTTTTCAAGGTATTTATGACATAGGCAACTTGCAGGTCATCATCAGCAGCAATACCTTTATTCAAATTTCTTTGAAATATTAGTTCCACTGCAAAATATTAGCGCATTATACATGTAAAACTGATTATAACTAGGTAAGCAATGCTTGAAAAGTATTCATAAAGACATTCTGAAAACTCGCACAAACTTTTAACTGTCACTTAATACGTGGTTGGTAACGCTTTGAGTGCTTTTAACCATGTCTCTCTATATGGCCGCCTGTCGGCGTTCCAAGATAAACTTACGTTGCTTCAAAATTCCAATCCTTATCAGCAGAACTTCAGGCAGTGAACAAATCAATGGAGGTTTTCTTATCTCCTTCTTAAAAGTAATTGAAAAAAACTCACAGCTTTACGCACTCCACAGAAAAATCGGGCAAAAGCAGTAGTAACTCCCACTCGTCCCGACATAGGAGCAATAAACTCCAAGAACAAAACAAGTAACCAAAATAACTACAAATACGCTGCCTAATAAATATTAATCTTGCTGACCAGCAACAAAACGCAAAGTTTTTCCAAACTACACTGTATGAACTGTCCCACAATCACTAACACAATACACACTTCCTTATCTTCGTATCTTGCATGATGCATGGAATCGCTATGAAACTAGTGTTTAACTCGGAGATTCTTCATAATGATAATGTGCAGAAAGAACCACTTTATAAATTACCAGTTCTATTCCCAATTAAGTCTGCTCCACTTACACTCAAGGCATAAAATGCGATAAGAAACAAATACACCAGTTTTCGGGTAACCATTTAAAATAAGTTTTATTTAACAGAGACACTGAATACACGCAATTAAAAGTTAAATTTATAGCAGTACCAACAAACTTAAAACATGTGAAACAACAAACAAATTTTCAAATGACCGGTAACTTCCAGACTTATACCAACTTAAAGCAAAGTTGATTTTGACAACAGTAAGATCGAATGACGGATAATATTCTATTTAACTTATAGTAGCAGGCACTTGAAAGTTTCACTGCAACCTTACAATACCTGCTTCCTGTAGCTTCATTAGTTTCCTTACAATTTCCGGGTTTTTAAGGTGTTCGCGTACGGCGCCAGCGTCAGTGCTCATCTGGTCTAATAACACTCGCATACCAGGGTCCCTAAAAGTAGGAATTTGGAGGCGAAATTGTAATATGTGTCAAAAAAGCAACTTTTATCTATATACCTATATACGGCTACCAAATTTTTCCTTGAATTTTTTTTTAACAGTTAGAATAAAAAAAAGAGAAAATCCAAATTTACATGTTCCCCATTACTTAATAATCATAAAGATAATAAGACTGCAAAAATTATAGAAAAAATTTGATCCCATCACATTCAATAAGACTTCATATAACAACTTACAGCAAGTAGCACTCAGCTATAATACTACAAAATCTAGTCCCGTAAAAACTACGTTCGGAAAACAGCAGAAGCCGAGAAAAACCTTTCTGTTTACAAAACTTCAAAGAGTTTACAATTACCTGTAGATTCAAGTCATTCCCCTATAAAGTAAAACTCAAATTAAGTTAAAAATCAAGGCATAGCTCGGCCATAAACATCAAACCTTAATATATCTTGAACTTCGGGGTCTTGTAAAGCTCGTTCTCGAGCCTCTTCGACAGGCTCACCGTGATGTACTACACAATTGTAATAACCTTCGCGAGCATCCTCGTTATTTTCGTCAATAGCTAAAGCAGCTTGATAGGCTGCTCGAGCCTTCAAGTAATCCTTCATAGCGAGTAATGCAGCTCCTTTCCGAATATATCCCTTTACTAAACTTTAAAATCAAAATGAGGAAAGAATCCTTTGAATAAAAAGTTTTATTTTGAATGATACTAACAAACTGACTTGCGCCCAATTGCTCGTGATATTATGCTTTTTTTTGCATAACAAAAAGAGTACTAAATCTAAAAAAAGCAAATTTGCTTACTAAATTTAGGATCCTTCTTAATGCACATCTCGCAGTCCTCTAAAGCCCGTTGAAACTCCATAAGTTTTGTGTAGCACGCAGCACGATTGGAATATAAAATAGCATTATCTGGATCCCTTTTCACAGCCTCAGTGTAATGCTTCATTGCTTCAGGGAATTTACCTAAAAAAAGCCAAATTATCATCTGAAGTAAACGACGAAGAGTTACAAATAGTTCAGTAGCAAAAAAAAACAATAGGAACAACGTACTACGATTACTACTAGCAAATCACAGACAGGCATCCAATTCAGTTACCTCGATAAAAACATTATAGAAAACAGAAATATCAAGATAAAATAGATCGCAAACCCTCTTTAAAAAGTGCATTTCCCAGCTTTTTTTCTTCTTCTGCAATTTCTGGATTGATGTACGCCAAACGTTTCCTTTCTGCCAGATCCTTTTCCAATTTCTTTTGCTTCTTGACTAGCTCCTAAAAAATAGTAAAGGGCTTGCACAAAGACCGTGGTAAGTAATGAAAGTCAACATCACGAGTTCAAAATAAAGAAGCCTTCTCTAAGAAGAAAATCTAGTTAATATTATACTTTTTAAAGTAAAACTAGCAAAACCAAGAAAACCCTTTTGTATCTACAAACTTCACAATTCAAACTTTTTTAATTTAAAAATGAATAAAGAAGGGCATTATTTAAAAGAAACCGGATCACGATGTTCAGACAGAGACTTGTCAAACCAAGTTATTGCCTCTTCCAACTTGTCCATTTTGATGTACGCGTTACCAATTCTCGTCAATGCCCTGAAACGAAAACCCATTGAAACAGGTACTAAACTTCTGTGGAAGAATTTTAGTGAAGCTGTAGCAAACCACAGAATGCAATTAAAAATGTGTAAACCGGATATAACACATAAATTAGAAACTACTAACTTGGCTATTAAGGTATATTCTGCTCTTTGTTCTCTCCCAATTTCCACTGCCTGTTTACACTGTTCTATACACTGCTCATACTCGCCCTTCTCAAACAATACAGCTGAAAACGAGTCAAAACAAGTCAAACAGTGACTAACATTTGCGAAAGAGTACTAGTTACAATCTGCAAAGCCACTTAAGCAACATCCTAAATCTAGCATCTCGTCAAATCCCAAAAAAAACCAAATCATATCATTTTAGGATCAAACATTCAAATGAAGCTTTAAAGGAAAAATCTAGGATACCTGCTTTGTTGGAATAAAACGTCATATTGGTCGGATCAAGCTCAATTGCTTTGTCATAATGAGCCAATGCTTCAGCAAACTCTTTCTTCTTGTATGCTGCATTTCCTAACTCCTTTTCTTTAATGGCCTAAAAAAGTACATAGACATTAACATAATTTCCTCTACAGAGGGTAATCCAGAAAAAACTCTCAAAAACACTCACACGGTAGAATCAGTTAAAAATTGTTTTTCTAAATAAAAATGCACAAAAATAAGAATCTATAAAATAACGTGTTAAAACCGAACCGCTTCAGCCATAATAACGAAGTGGTATGCGTTAACAGTTCAGGCTACTGCTGCAATTTCTGAAAAAACACTAATTACTGAAGGGAGAACAAGTAATAAATATCTGCGCCTCCGTAAAACCTTTATTTCTACAGTGGTGTTCAAAACGCCAAAAAGTCCAATAAACTCGCAAGATTCCAAATTACCATGAAATACACACAAAAAATTCATTTCTACTGATTGCGACTAGCTATTTTTATGAAAAACCAAGTCCTACTTCCAAACTCTACGTAACACGAAGTAAAGAAGAAATTAAAGCTAAAGTTTTTAAATACAACAAATACAGCAAAACTTTTAAATTAAAGCCTTTTCGCTTGGAACCAATTTCGTTCGGTAAATTTGCAT